GACTATGGTTATAATCTCAGGACTTTTGTTAGTACTTAGGTAAGTACACGAAGATGCTCACTCATAAAATGCTATACTAACGATTAATTTTAGAATAAAATGAATCCTTTAAATTTAAATGACTGTTTGTACCCATAAACTATGCTCTATATGGTTTATAGTTTGTTCGCATGAAATCTATGTTTCGTGTATTGATAAGGTAATTGTTCTAAAAACTATACCTATTATAGTTTATATGTTTGTTAATGTATTCAATTCATGTATTATTCTGAAAACTTTTACAACTATGGTTGCATGTTGAAAACTTCTCTTATGCTCAGCATATTACAAAAATGGATATATTATCTAAATGTTTTGTAAAAGGTAATGATCTCTTAATCGTATCGTTTACATAAGTTTTTATCTTGTTAAATATCTTTTATATAAAATTACAAGATTTCTTTGTGTTTTGCTTGTATTCCCCCTCTCCCCCCTGAAAACGTTAAAAACAGTAAAAATGTAGGGGTATGAACTCACTCTGGTTTATGTGTACGTGCTGGACAACGAGACTGGAATGAGGACCCTCGAGTTGTTGTACGCGAAATTAACGGAATCCTAATAATAATTAAACACATATTTGCATTTAAATTAGTGAACCCATTAATTAAAGTGTTAGAAAACACTTGCTTTTAGTTTAGGAATGTTACCGAGACTCGATCGAAGTGGAAAAGTGGGTTTACAGCCAAGTTTCACGATTTAGGGTAGTTTGCGGCCGTGAAAGGTTTTCGGCCGTGAAATGTTCTCTGACCTTGAATGGTTTGCGGTCTTTGAATGGTTTGCGGCCTGTTCTTGGTGTTCTTGGTGTTCTTGGTGAAATATGAAGATTTGAAGGTTCACGGCCGTAAACCCGAGAATGAAGAGTGCTTGATTTGATGAAATGATGAATGTTTGATGCTCCAAAACAAGTTCCAAGGTGGATTGGATGATTTTTGGAGGATAGATGAGACAAACTTGAGTGTTCGGTTGGTGGGTTTAGAGAGAGAATGTTGAGTTTTCGGCCAGAACTGTAGAAATGAGGGTATATATATATATATATATATATATATATATATATATATATATATATATATATATATATATATATATATATATATATATATATATATAGGTTGGGTTTACGGTCGGAGGTGGGGCCCCCAGGCCGTGAACGATTTACGGCCGTAAACGCGTTTGCGGCCGTAAACACCGGGATGAACAAGACTTGGTTGATTTTCGTAGAAAAACTTGATTCTTCGCACGATTTTAGTCCCGACACTTATATAAATTTAATTTATATAATCTAAGTTGTTCTCAACCCTTACGAGCTTGACAAAAATTGACAAAATAAATAAAATTCAAAATTTTTATTTAACGGGAATGACTTTTGTTGACGGGAAAGTTTCGGGTTGTCACACCCCTGGACCCCGTTCATAGGGGCGCTGCCTCCAGACTCCCGTTCGTTTAGGGGTTTCACCCATAAATGACAGCCTGCTTTGAATTTTGAACAAATTCAAACAAGTGTGCACTCCGCATCACCTTATTTGCTTAATGTTTATCAAGATTATATTTGGTCAGCAAATTAATTAATTATACTTAAATACAAATTGGTATTACAAATCGCTAACATTGATTGTTAAAGCATATGTTCATTTGATAATATATCACCATTTCTGATGGTAAATTCTTAGCGACTAGTTTTGGACAATAGTTGAAAACGTTTTAATAGTTTATCAAAATGGTTTAATTTCTGTAATGTAATTATTTTTTTATCAAGAAAATGATGATTTATTTAAGAAATACAATAGTCGACCATTTAATCATTGTGTTGAATAAGCAACATGTTGGTTTGATTAGCTCAAGACAAGCACGCTTGTCTTATGGCCATCTTTGTCATTGCTTACACAATTGCATGGTCAACCCTTGTAATCTACTCATACTCATAACTTCTAAATATTTACTTCTATTATTTCATATAATAATGATAACATTTGGGTAAAGAAGATTAATTAATAGAAGTATTTCATTCTTAATCACATGACTCCTAACTCCTTTATATAATATTGCCTTCATGTTGTGAAAACTCTAATATCTAATCCAACATATAATTTTTAAAAATGTTTGATTGTTTAGAAGTATATTAGATACTTTGATAAACCATAAAATGTTATAGACCTAAATCAAAATTGTTATTTTAGAATAATAATTTTCTCTCAAGAAATGTAAAAACGTTTTATCTTTTATATGAAGATAGCACAAATAGAATTTTGTTGTAATTTTTAAAAAGATCTCAGTTTAGAATCCACACCATAAATCGTCTTATTTAAGTAGATGAACTTAACATGTCTTAACATACTTTTAAAGTTTTTCATATAAAACAGACACTTTTTACTTAAGTCTTTGCATACATACGTACGTATATCCTAAATGCATGCCTTCGCTGACCCTAGCCATCCCATCTTGTGGACTTATAACTATAGTTAGTGGTTTACATACGAATTATAAGCCTTAAGACTTTTAGAACCGATTAGATAACTAAATTGAACTCATGCAAACCACCAGACAGAATAAGCATAATTTTTAATATTTGGACCGAAAGAAACAATCCTTATAATATCACTATTAAAGGAGTTTTTAACTAAATTTGTGTTTTTGAAAAACTTATTTACCTGACAGGTATACTTTTAAAATTATTACCGAATAGGTTATTTACTTATAAAAAAAATATCCTGCCCTAATTCTTTCTTTCTTACCGAACAAACTCCGCCCTTGTTAAAAAAAATATCCTGAAGCGGCCATATGTCTGTTATCTCCACCGGCAAATCCTGCAGCGTCTCCAGCCGGCGACCACTCACAGGTTCGATTCCACTGCCAGCGACTCCACTCACAGTAATTTTCTTTTAGGTTCACTCTACTGGTTCTTATTTGATTAGATTAGGTTTTTTAAATTTCATGTCTACATTTACGAGTATTTCGAATGGCTGTAAAGGTTCACTCTATTAACCTAAGATATTAATAAATTAATATGATATAATTGTTGTAATAAATACATCTTAGCTTGCTTTTTTAAGGGAACTGATATTTCCACTTGGTTTTCTCTCCATCCACTTAACAAAAATATAATTTTCCTTTTATGGCCTTTGAAGACTATCATCGTCAAAACTCTCTTCTTGATATCCATCCCTTAAATAAATTTCACCCATTATTCATATTTTGTTCTAGATTTTAATTTTGATTTTGTTCTATATTTTAATTTTGATTTTATATCTTTTTGGTTTCCCAGGCTAACTCTTAATTGGTTTTATTTTCTTTTTTTACTTCTATTTTTGTTTTATTTTTATTTTTATTTTATTTATATATTATTATAATAAAGAATATATATATATATATATATATATATATATATATATATATATATATATATAATTGAATTTTGAAATTAAAATTAAATAAAAAAATCATGTAGATGTAATACCAACTCAACACAAACCTAATATAATTAGAATCACCTAAACATCTTTGTTCGATTTATTAAATGCAACTACTCGATACAACGATCTATTAGATTGTGTTCTTAGGCATCGTGATATGTCATACCATACACTAATAAAATAATTACGTATTTTATTAGTAATGTAATCTAAGTAGACATCGTGGTTACAAATAAAATATTGATCACCGACCGCGATTTGATTTAGTAGTTCTCACAATGGAATACTTTGAACAATTTTGTGATATATATTAGTTTGAATATTTTTGTTGGGAACATCTTACCCAAATAGGGTGAATATTTGTTAACGCCGCTATTGTATCACGAGAACTGGTATTTAAAATCATGGTCCATGGCCTCTATTTTATTTTTTACCGCTATACAAACATAGAGTGCACCAGTAATAAAATTTAATTTTTTATTAGTATGTTACATGACACTTAATAAATTAAATGAGAATGTTTAATCCCATAATAACAAATCCCTATGGCGTTGATATCACATTTATATGATTTTTATGTAATTTTTGCTTCAACATTTTAAATATTGTTGTTAATTATATATATCTTTATTTTAATAATATATAAATAAATTCGGAGTTAAAATAAAACAAAAATATAAATAAGAAAATAAAAAGAAAACCAAATAAGAACCATGTTAAAAAACCAAAATCGCGATTGTGGATTTCCAAATTTAAGTGTATAAAAATCAAAACTGTGGGACGAAATCAAGTTAATTAGTTAAGGATCATAATCTATAAAAGGGTTTTGATGGCAGGTGGTTTTAAAGGGTATAAATGGAAAAACATCAAATGACTTCTAACCCAGCGGTATCAGGTGGTGCCCTCCCTTTTTGAGGTCGAGGGTTCAAGTCCCGTCGTGGACATAGGTGGAATTAGGTGTTAGTTTATGAGTAGATTATATATTTGTATTTGCCGGTTAAAAAAAATAAAAAAACATAATTTTATTAAGTGGATGGATAAAAAAACTAAGTGGAAATATCAACTCCCCTTTTTAAACTGATTAAACCATTTAAAACATTTGAATTTAGGTACTCATATTTAGGTATTCACCAATAATTATGCCCGTTAAAAAAACCCAATAATTACTAAGAATGTATAAAACTTAAACATTGTTTCCTTTATTTAAAAAATTAAAGCCTAAACAATCTAGAATTATTTCCAATATTTTCATATCTGAATACTTAAATAATACGTAAACTGATTAAATATTCCTTTGAGGATTTGTTTTATATATGGTCTTGATTTGTGAACTAGGTCAAAAGTCAACCTTGATATTTATCTTCGCAAGTGGACGGTCATGATTTATTTAAAAAAGGTTACTTAAATTTGCTAATTACTCTATCATAGTACTTACTTTTATAGTAAAGTTCCATGTGCAGTATGATAGGAAAGCATGTGACAAGCTCTTGTATATAATCCCTTACCCATTCTTAATGTTTTCTCAACACTAATACACAACGCACAAAAGCTGAAATGGCTCAAATTATTCTCTCATTGTTGGTCATCTCTCTCACCATCTTTGGTTTTTTGGGCAAAGTCGAGTCGCGCTCACGTGCAAGGATGTACCTTCAGGCACAATGCCAACCAACAATATACTTTGATCTATGTGTGAGAACTCTTTTACCCTATACTACCAAAAAAGAACTACCAAGCCCACGAAGATTAGCTCAAATCACGCTAACCACATGTTTAGTCAAAGCTCGGTTTACCAAGGTTTATGTAGACATGATAGCAAAACAATACAACAAAACAAAGAATCATCGAGAATACCAGGCTTTGGAAGACTGTCTGAATCAAATCAGTTATGGAGTAAACCAAATTACTCAATCCGTCAAAGAATTACAACAAATGGATACAGATGTGGAAGAAAAATTTGTGTGGCATGAGAGTAACATTAAGTCGTGGATAAGTGCTGCCTTAACGGACACTACAACATGTATGGATGGACTTTTGGGGGACACACTTGGGAATAAGGTAAAAAGTATGATTAAAGCAAGGTTTTTGAACGTTAAACAACTCGCTAGCAATTCTCTTGGGATGTTCAATCGCTTCACTGCAAGGCATCGTGCTTCTCGCGCCATCAGGAACCCTTAAATTTGGTTATTATAGAGTCTCAAACTAAAAAATGTTTTTATGTTAAATTATATGGTGGTGTTAGAGAAATATTTCTTTAATTTAATTCATGTCGAAGCGATATACATATAATGGTCGATGTAATATGTGAATATCAAGTTTTGAGAAATATATAAATTTACAATTCTTGCATTGTTTTTGAAAAATTAGTCGTGACATTTGGTTAAACACATAATCAATAGATCAAATGTTTTTATAACTACAAAGAATATAGGCGATGAAAATAGAGTATACACCTACTTCTAAACAGGTAATAACCATTTAGGGGTAAATAACTTCTAATGTTCATAGAAAATTTGAGCAGCAGACGTTAAATTTGTCTCTAGAAATTGAAGATTTGACTCCATTACCTTGTAACCTTCATTCCCCCCTTATATTTCTATCAATTTGATAGAGAATATACATTCAAAAACTTTTGCTAAAGGACTTGCACACTACTTGTTTTATTTGTATTTTTTATATTTAATCATAACTTAGAAAAACGAAATAGTTATGAAAGATAATTAAATCGAACCAAAAAGAAATAAATTTAACAATTACAAAGAAAATAAATAACTTAGAAGAAAAATTAATATATATATATATATATATATATATACTAGCCGTTTACCCTTAACAAGCGACGGGTATGAATAGTTTTTTCAGAAATTAGTTTGTAGAGGTGATTAGTTATGTTGCGCAAATAGTTTACTACATTTAAATAATTATCAATAAGAGTCATGCTAGCAAATATGAAATCAGCAACATAAAAAATGAAGAGTTTGGATAATTATCTTTCAACCGTTAGATTTTTTCATAAACATGTTGTATTTCAGGATATACACAATGTGATAGTATAAGCATAAACCAACTTTGTAACCATATGTAAGCTTTTAAGAATTGTTTTTTTTTTTTTTTTACTTTTTGGACTTTGTTCAGCAACTTGGGGTTCAATATCTGTTTCATCAAGTTCATTATCTATCTATGAACAGTGTCACATAAAGTTGGTCACATGAAAACAATAAATAGAAATTTTGTTATTTATTAATTAAACAAAATAATCATGAAACTTTACCTTTTTGGTATATAAATCTGAAAAAAAAAACATTATCATTTATACATCATAATTATCCTAAATATATTTTTAGTTATGAGATTATGATTCAAAAATGATATGACTACCGGATGTATATAAAATGTATAAAAGAAAGATTTAAAACAATTTTGAATTGTTTAATTATTACAATCATGTAGATTTACCCGGAAACCGAGATTCACGCACTTTTGAATAAAAGACGATTTTTAAAACAATTTAATTTTTCTATAAAACGACAATTAATATATTAAAAAACCACTGGATAAGAAGAAATGACAGTATGATGCTAGAAGAAACATAGTAAAGGAAATATGTATTCCCTTATGTAAAATAATATAGTTTAAAGTGGTTTAACATTACACCCTTCCCTTTCTCTCCATGTGCTTTTTCGTTGAGGGAAAGGTATGGTAAAAGAACGTATATATTCATAAAAGTACCAAGATGGTATATTATTATAGAGGTTAATGGGTAAAGCTTAGTGAGGGGTATTCTTGGTATTTTGGGTTCAAAAAACTCATGATGCAGAATAAAAGAGAAAAGGCATACAAGGGCTAAGTTTTTTATTCAGAAGAAAAAGGTATGTCTTCAGCGAAATTAAGAATGGTATGGTTACTTACGGTTTAACTTTGCACCTTAACAGGGAAAACAGATGGGAGAGGTTGGTTCAAACTTGGGAGTAGGCTTTAGGCGTTGTACCTTTAGCTCATCCTCTTGTTTCATGAATTGGAAAAATATAAAATAAGTATTGTACAATCACTCCTTTAACCAAATTAAGTGATGGCTTTTGGAATTATACCACGTGATTTTTAAACATTTTATGAATTGATTGGTTTTCGATAAAACATATTTTGAAAGTGGAGATTGGTACTCTTAATTAATGAGTACCGGAGAATGAGAACTTACACAAGCCACTATTTTCAAAAGCAAGAACCATAAACAAAACTAAAGAAAGAAAGGAACTGACAGTTAACAATCACAACTAAATCTCAAAAAACTAATTAACATATCGGTAATCTGAAACTGATTCTCAAAAACTAACAAAAACATTAAAAAAAATTGTTGGTTCGTTCACACAGGACCCACAATCGCATCCGACCATTGCTATGTCAGCCCTACAACAAAAGACAACATTAAAAAACATTAAAAAAATGTATTTCGGAATCTGCAAAACCAATTGCACAAAAAGTAACAGTTAAACAATGTAAAAATAAAAACCACGTACACATTTTCTATAAGAAATATGGCTAAAGCCTTAAATGCGAGGAATGAAAATATACAATCATTGATATGTTTATTATAGCATTTTTATTTCTTCATATTACAATAATATATCTTGAAAAAAAGCTCCCAATTATAGCAAAATGTAATCCAAAGTCGGGATGGCAAAGACCAAACTCGAAAAACCCACATACAAAAAGAAATCAAGAAATCTTTCATCTGATTTCCACGTCTTTTAAGATAAGCCCCGTTTTTATCTGAAAAAATCAACTGTAGTTGCATGTCCTGGTTTCACACTAAAATCTCACATCTGTTTTCGTTTTGGAAGACCAGATGTCGAATGGATATTGTTAGGGGCTGCAAATGCTCCAATCTGATAACACAAAATACAAACTTAGACGAACATAATACAACACCATCATAATACAAACTTATTACCTGATGCAGCCATCAACACTAAAATAAGTTGTTTCATAATTTTCATGATCCCTATAAAGAGTCCCAAATGCCCCTGTCCATGACTTCTTAACACATAAATACCCACTACAGACTAAAAGGTAATACACATACACATTTACTGAACAAAGATATTATGCATTCAAATAACCAAAGAAAATAATAAAACTTTCTATAGAAGTATCAAGATTTCCAATGGCTCATCCTTACCTTTCACATACACGATCACAAACCACACACACACAGTGACACACATACAACATCATCATCATATGAACCGGTCAATCCTCTTTGCAATCATCCTTGGAGAAATACTCAACTCAGGAACTAAAAAAGGAATCCAAAGAAGGTAGTCCACATTAAAATTAATACCAGTCCAAACAAAAGCAAGGTGAAGAAAAGAACATAAGATGCTATAATAAACAACAAAAAAGTATGTTGCTATTTATTTTTGCTATTTATTTCATTTAGTGCAATTCACAAAACAAAATGCAAAAAATAGTTTGTTGCTATTTACAGCAAATCACAAAAAGATAGTTTTTTTGCAGTTAATTGCAAATCGCGAAAGAAAAAGAATAGTAAAGTTCAATGCTATTTACGACATGTCACTAAAGAAAAAAATCCAAATAAAAAATGATAGTTCGTTGGTAGTAGTACAGTTCACAAAAGAAGAAATTTAGAAAGTTTGTTGCTACTTAAAGCATGTCAAAAAATAAAAAAGTTGATTTTGTTTAAAGCAACTCATAAAAGAAAAAAAATTGTTTTACTGTAGCTCACAAAATGAATAAAATGGATATATTTTTTATTATTATATTTTTGTTAACCAGACGAACCTTGATTTTGGGATTTTGGTCATCATTTCTTCTTCGAGCTACGCTGAACTCTTGAGTTGAGTTAATGCACAACCAAACAATATGAAAAAAAGTAAAACATGCTATTTTTTAGTCTTGAAACCAGTTGTATTAAAAAAATGGCCATGGAAAATAGTAAGAAACATTAGTCTCCAAGAAGTTGAGTAACTGAAGCGAAGCACATAGTCATGCTTGTTTTCACCTATAGACTGAATTATTTAAATGTAGAAACTACAAGTACATGAAAGATCATATTATAAACTTTGAACGGGTAGTATCAATGATGACTCTAACTATATCCATATAAGTTTGGTTTCTAGTTCCATTAAAAAATCTAATAAAAGGGATGAAGACACATACATAACCAATGGAAATAACAACAATGCGATAAGCCTAGTTGTTACATGCTCCATGCAAGAGAAAGTACACCAGATCCAATCACTACAGTGATGATGTGAGAGACTGTACTCCATATTGGGCCTGACTCAAAGGAAGTTAATTTAGACTTTGATGGTCAGGGGGCAACCATACACCATTAAGTTTTTATATCGTGGAAACCAGACAACTAATGACAAATTCAAGTTCATTAAGTTCTTTTTCACAAAATCATATCTCTTGTATTACTGACTTTGATTTTAACATTAATGGTCAGGGGGCAACCATACACCATACACCACTTGTTTTCTTGATTTTATTTTGACTTTGATGATCAACTAACTCTTAAATAATGAAAAGAACCAAAATAGAAATAGGAAATATTATCAAAATGAGTTATAAATTAGAAAAATGAAACTCACAGGATAGAAGATGAGAGGCAATCATAGAATCACTTCAGAGACTCTTTTCATTAAAGAGAAAATGAGAGAGAGCTTATATGCTGACATACCGATTAAGTTGTGGACATGAAAAGAGCAAGCGGTGATATGAGAACTGAAGAGCACAGAAAGACATGGTAGATAGAATCTGTAAAATGGAAGGAAAAAGGTGGTTAAGTATATAATGGGAGTTGTTATATACTCAAGGATATGGAATGTTATCTATAACATACATGGAACTATAAAAATTTCAGAAATTAAAAAAAAAAAATTATTGGTGTCATGGGGACTAAAATGTCCAAAACTTACCAATCATGAAGCAAAAAAGCTATAATCATCCCGCATCCTCTCAAGGTTCATTTCTGAATATAACCATGCCAAGAGAAATAAATATCGAGTTTATTTAATGTAAAAGGAAAGATAAAGACTAATTAAATATTGATAATATGTAAAAACAATTACCAATTATGTATGTTTCATCTGGTTTGATACTCAGAGCAGTACTCTTATGGTCTATCATCAATGTTAACTGCAGAAAGTAAAAAG